TGTATATTAAAAGTGATTCTACCAAAATTCATGTCACGGTTCACAACATTAGTATCAACTGGGCTAAAGAGACTCAATATTTCTAGCTATATGGTAACTAATTAATTATATGAATAAAAATAAAGAGTAATTTAAGTTAGACCGGAATGAGTTATTTTTTGCAGCATCTAAGTGGCTGAACATGGATTGGGTAAGCGTAATTGAAAGTTACTTGTAACTGGTATAATTGACATCAGTGATTATCAGAAACATTAGACCAAAATTATTGTTTTCTTTTGGGTTTATAGTTTTAAATGGGACTTGCATTGCCTGGCCTCTCTTTATTTATTTTTTTTCTGGTAATTTTTTTTTTCTCCCTCTTAATATACTTCCTTTAATTGCCTTTCTTTTATGAAGGTTGTAAAGTTTTAAAAAGAAGGTATCTGCATCTCTTTAAAAATTTTATTAGTCTGAGTTATTTAAAAGTTATTTTTATTAAGTTATGATTAATTTATATCTATCATTTAATTAATAAATTTATAATTTTATTCAAAAATATATAATTAATTAATTAATTAATAAAAAAATATATATATTTAATTAATTATGTAACATATATGTATAAATTATAATATAATCTCATAATAATGATACACAAAATGTATAAACTAATTTGAATTCGTAATTTATTTTTTTTTAATACCAATCATCCCGTTAAAAAATATTTGGTTATAACATTAATTTGAGAATAGTAAAGAGATACAAGAGGTACGTGAAAATGTCCCAAACAAAAATTTCATAGTTAGGATTTTATTTAGAAATTCATTTCAACTCAAGTAAATTGGACTAGTCTCCATGATTATATGATTTAGTTCTTGCTCTTAATGAATGTTTGATGTTATCCACAATGTGCATAATAAAGAAAATGAAAAATAATATGATATAAACTGAAATCTAGATGAAATTAGAATGTTAATGGCATATGGGGTAAGAACTACTCACAGATAAAAACTTTGCCAATCTAGAATGTGTCTCTAATTTGCAGCATTCTTCCAACACTAATCATTTATTTAATTTAATATGTGGATTTACTTTATTTTTTTAAAATAAATTCTTATATTTATTAATATGATGATATATATATATATATACTAATTATAATACAGTATAAATAATCTCAAAATAAATAAATAAATAAATGGGAGCACATCCCAACTGGAATTCACTACATTTTGCCTACATATTATACTCCAAATTTAATCTAAGCTGTATTCATGATATAATCTCAATATTTGATTTTATATTATAATTAATACAAATATATAGTTTATACGTTACATATTTTTTGATATTACACCTTTAGATGCATAAATTTTTTTTCAATTTATGTCCTTATTTTCTGATAGAGAGTTATGAATAACTGATGACCATTCCTTCTTTCTCTCTTTTTTCAACCAGTTGTTACATTAATGCAAACTCTCCTCTTACTTCATTCGTCTTCTAATCGTACGAGCTTTAATTATTCTTGTAGAGAACATAATCTATA